TGCATATACTGTCCTGAGACTGAACTGGGAGGAAACTGAATCTCTAAGTAGACCAAGCAAAAAAAAGCCTAGGACCAGATGGATTCACAGCTGCATTCTACTAGAGGTAAAAGAAGAACTGGTACCATTTCTACTGAAACTATTCCAAACAATTGAAAAAAAAAGGAGCTCCTTCCTAACTCATTTTATGAGGCCCACATCATCCTGATACCAAAACCTGGTAGAGATACAACAACAACAACAACAAAAAACCTTCAGGCCAACATCTCTGATTAACATTGATGTGAAACTCATCAACAAAATACTGGAAAACCAAATCCAGAAGTGCATCAAAGAGCTGTTCTACCACTCTCAAGTTGGCTTCATCCCTGGGATTCAAGGTTGGCTCAACAGACACAAATCAATGAATGTCATTCATCACATTAATGTAACTAATGACAAAAACCACATGATTATCTCAGTAGACTCAGAAAAAGCCTTTGATAAAATTAAACATCCCTTCATGTTAAAAAAAAATCTCAATAAACTAGGTATTGAAGGAACATACCTCAAAACAATAAAAGCCGTATATGGCAAATCCACAGCTAACATCATATTGAAAGGGCAAAAACTGGAAGCATTTCCCTTGAAAACTGGCACAAGACAGAGATGCCCTCTCTCACCACTCCTATTCAAAATAGTATTGAAAGTCCTGGCCATGGCAATCAGACAAGAGAAAGAAAGAAAGAAAGAAAGAGTATTCAAATGGGAAAAGAGGAAGTCAAATTATCTTTGTTTGAAGATGACATGATCCTATATCTGGAAAACCCTATCATCTCAGCCCAAAAGCTTCTTAAGTTGATAAGCAACTTCAGCAAAATCTCAGGATACAAAATCAATATAAAGAATTGCCAGCATTTCTATACACCAACAACAAGCAAGTGAATCATGAATAAACTCCCATTCACAACTGCTACAAAGAGAATAAAATACCTAGGAATACAGACAACAGGGGAAGTAAAGGAACTCTTCAAGGAGAACTACAAACCACTGCTCAAGAAAAACGGGGGGGACACAAACAAATGAAAAAAACATTCCATGCTCATGGATAGCAAGAATCAATATTATGACAATGGCCATACTGCCCAAAGAAATTTATGGATTCAATGCTATTCCCATTAAACTACTATTAACATTCTTCACAGAAGTAGAAAAAAAAGTATCTAAACATTCATGTAGAAGCAAAATGAGCCCCAATAGCCAAGACAATCCTAAACAAAAAGAACAAAGCTGAAGCATCATGCTACCTGACTTCAAACTATACTACAAGGCTATAGTAACCAAAATAGCATGGCACTGGTACAAAAACAGACATATAGACCAATGGTACAGAATAGAGAACTCAGAAATAAGATGCACATCTACAACCATCTGATCTTCAACAAACCCGGCAAAGCCAATGGGGAAAGAATCCCCTATTTAATAAATGGTGCTGGGAGAACTGGATACCTATATGCAGAAAATTGAAACTGGACCCCTTCCTTACATCTTGAACAAAAATTAAGTCATGATGGATGAAAGGCTAAAATGTAAAACCCAAAACTATAAAAACCCTAGAAGAAAATCTAGGCAATACCATTTAGGACATAAGCACAGGAAAGGCTTCATGACAAAAGTGCCAAAAGCAACAGCAACGAAAACAAAAATTGATAAATGGGATCTAATTAAACTAAAGAGTTTCTGTACAGCAACAACAAAAACAAAAAAAAAAAGTATCATCAAATTGAATAGACAACTTACACAATGAGAGAAAATTTTTGCAATCTATTCATCTGACAGAAGTCTAATATCCAGAATCTACAAGAAACTTTAATAAATTTACAAGAAAAAAAAAAACCATTAAAAAGTGGGCAAAGCACATGAACAGAAGAAGAAGCCATTCTTCTTATGAATAAAAGAAGACATTCATGTGGTCAACAAACATATGAAAAAAAAAACTCAAAACCACTGATCATTACAGAAATGCAAATCAAAATCACAATGAGATACCATCTCACCCCAGTCAGAATGGTGATTATTAAAAAGTCAAGAAACAACAGATGCTGACAAAGTTGCAGAGAAAAAGGAATGCTGTTACATTGCTGGTGGGAGTGTAAGTTAGGTTAGCCATTGTGGAAGACAGTGCGAGTATTGCTCAAAGTTCTAGAAGCAGAAATATCATTTGACCCAGCAATCCCATTACTGGGTATATACCCAAAGAAATATAAATCATTCTGTTATAGTGATACATGCACGCATATGTTCATTGCAGCACTATTCACAATAGTAAAGACATGGGATCGACCCAAATGCCCATCAATGATAGAATGTATAAAGGAAATGTGGTATACATACACCATGAAATACTACAAGCCATGAAAAGGAGTAAGATTATGTTATTTGCAGGGACATGGATGGAGCTGTATGTCATTATCCTCAGCAAACTAAGGCAGGCACAGAAAACCAAACACCGCATATTCTCACTTAGAAGTAGGAGCTGAATGATGAGAATCATGGACACATCAAGGGGAACAACACACACTAGGGCCTGTTTGGGGGAGTGTTAGGGAGGGAGAGCATCAGGAAGAAAAGCTAATGGAGAATGATCTTAATGCCTAGGAGATGAGTTGATCTGTTCAGCAACCCACTATGGCACATGTTTACCTATGTAACAAACCTACACATCCTGCACGTGTACCCTGGAACTTACACAGAAGTTGAAGAAAGAGGGAAACAAAGAACTTTATGGTTTTACTGGTTTTAAAGTGAAATTAAATGTAATAGAACAGCACAGGAGCAGAATTCGGGTGGAGCAGAATTTCATGTTTTAACCTTCAAATATTAGATAAATAAAGGAACGGAGTTTATTTTTGGTTTGTTTGTTTACAAAATATTCTCAGTTATGTGGCATAGAGTGTACTGTGTGTTCGTCATTCCAGTTCCTCTTCCTGGGCACAGAAAGACTGCAGTTCCCAGGCTCTCTTGACTAAATGCTGATGTCATGAGACCAAGTTATGTTCAATGGTGTGTGGACAATGTTGAGGGTACTTTAAGATAGGGGTCCCCAACCCCTTTGCCATTTGCCTGGTACTGATCGGTGGCCTGTTAAAAACTGGGTAGCACAGCAGAAAGTGAGCAGCAGGCAGGCAAGCAAAGCTTTGTCTGTGTTTAAAACTGCTCCCCATCGCCCACATTAGTGCCTGAGCTCTGCCTCCTGTCAGATCAGTGGTGGCGTTAGATTCTTATAGGACTGGAAGCTCAGTTGTGAACTGTGCATGCGAAGAATCTAGGTTGCACACTCCTGATGAGAATCTGGTGCCTGATGATCTGTCACTGTCTCCCATCATCCCCAGATGGGACCAGATAGTTGCAGGAAAACAATCTCAGGACTCCCACTGATTCTATATTATGCTGACTTGTATAATTATTTCATTATATATTACAACGTAATAATAATAGAAATAAAGTTCACAACAAATATAATACACTTGAATCATCCCGAAACCGTCCTGTATCCCTTCATCCCTGGTCTGTGGAAAATTGTCTTCCATGAAACTGGTCCATGGTGCCAAAAAGGTTGGGGACTGCTTCTTAAAGGCACAGCCCTTAAAAGTAACTTATGTGATGATTAAATTCTCTTTATCCATCCCACAGTGACCCTGGAGACCACTTACACTTGATAACATGGCTAGAAGGTGAAAAGAGTCTGGTGCCTAAATCTTTGCTTAGAGAAGAGGTACTGAGGAAAGCTCAGAGATACATGCACACATGTTGGGCTAGGATGTAAATAGGAAACACACTTTTATTGCATTCAACCAGTGAGATGGTGAAGTGTGTTTGTTATTACATCATAGTCTATCCTATCCTGATGAATTCAGAAAATATGAAACAAAAACTAAAATATGTGTCAATATTTAAGAGATCGGGGAAGGTGGTGAAAACTTGGGCACTGGACCCCAGAAAGATGGTCACTATTATTTACAGAAAGAAAACGATGAGGAATACTAGGATCTGCAGTTACTTTGTGGGAAGCCTATCAAGCTAGGAATGGAGGAGGATAAAAGGAAAGCAGGAGGGTGTGTGTGGTTATTGCTGATCACACTTGACAAATTGTTACAAGAAAGTGAACAGAGAGAACACAGAGTTTTCCTCCCTTGCAGCATTGTATTTCAAACAATAAGCAATGGGATTATAAAGACTCTGAATGAAAGAGTCATGTAATGTTCATCGTTTGATAACTCACATGGAGGAAAAACAGACTGAAGCTTTGGTGTTTAATGTAACTGTCAGCTGAATAAAGGAACTGGGGAAAAGATATTTTATGAATGTTGCTCTTCTACATGTTTTACTAGATCATCTTAAGGTAAACAACATTCCTTTGAGACAGACACATGCAGATGGGAACAAGGAACTAATTAATCTTGAGATTTAAATCAAGGAAAGAACAATGGGTATCGTTTCTGGCACAAGGAACTGACAGGAAGTACATAGATAAGAAGTCTACTACGTTTTTGACAGAAGTATATTGTGATTTTGTTGATAATTCCTGGTTGATAACTTCCATAGCCCCTTTTATACCCTTCTATTGTAATGCTGGGGCACTCTAGGCCTCAGGAGCAGACCTCATGGAACAGAAACTCTCTTTCTCTCTCTGAAATTCTCCTGTTCTTCTTCCACAGGCAAGACTCTAATCTGATTGTAGTTCAAAATATTCTCATTTTGTCAGGGCATAGTGGCTCACATCTGTAATCTCAGCATTTTGGAAGGCCAAGGCGGGAGGATCACTTGAGGTCAAGAGATTGAGACCATCCTGGCCAACATGGTGAAACCCCATCTCTACTAAAAAAATACAAAAATTACCTGGGCATGGTGGCACACACCTGTAGTCTCTGCTACTTGGGAGGCTGAGGCAAGAGAATCGCTTGAACCCAGGAGGCAGAGGTTGCAGTGAGCCGAGATCATGCCACTGCACTCCAGCCTGGCCAGCCTGGCAACAAAGAAAGACTCTGTCTCAAAGAAAAAAAAAAAAAATCATTCCAAAGAAAATCCCTGCTCCTACCCTAGAAGAAAGAATGCTACACAAAGGGTCCAAGAAAAGTCTGAAGAGACAAGCCTCATTGGTTTTAGATTATGTGTTATTTGTCCAGTCACATTTCTACATGGCTGTCAATTGTATCTGTGTAATGAAGCCTCTATAAAACCACAAAAGGACGGGGTTCAGGGAGCCTCCAGATAGATGAACGTGTGGAGGTTGCTAGAGGGTGGCAAGGCCCAGGGTGGGCATGGAAGCTCTATAACCCTTCCCCCATACCTCACCCTATGCATCTCTTCATCTGTATTCTTTGTAATTTCCTCTATAATAAACTAGTAAAGGTAAGTATTTTCCTAAGTTCTGTAAGCCACTCTAGCAAATTAATTGAGCCCAAAGAGGGGATTTTGGAAGGCCCAACCTGAAGCTGGTTGGTTGGAATTTCTGGAGGCTTAGACTTGTGAAGTCTGAAGCCAAGAGAAGTTTAGGGGACTGAGTCCTCAACCTGTGAGATCTGATAGGTAGATAGTGTTGGAGTTAATTGGAGGATACCCAGTTGATATCCACTGAGGAGTTGCTTGGTCAGGGAAAAGCTCCCTCCCCTCACATTTAGTCACAGAAGTCTTCTTTTTTGATGTTTGCTGTGGGTAAGAGGAGATGAAAAACGCAGTCTGAGAGTTGTTTCTAAACAATTGTCAAGGAAATCTGGCTGTTTAACATCTAAAGCAAGACCTCGGATTTTCATTTTCATGAGATGGTCACTTTCTAAGGAATTCCCATTTCAGATGTGGACAGGCAGATTCGTGGACAAGAGTACCTTTCCAGAACGTAGGGTCTAGATGGACATGTGTAAGGGAGATTTTTCCCCAGAGAAAGAGACAAAGGCCTAATCAAGAATCTCTCAGAACCCTAAAGTAAAGTGTTTTCAAAATAGCTACTCAGCAAGGTTTCAGAATATCACCAACCAGTGACTGCTGTATGCCTTCTGACTTTCTCCTTCGGATTAGACATGTTTATTGTGAGCGTTCTCCCCCCATGTCAGGTATGTGGTGGCAAACAACTTGCAATTTTAGTTGATAGGTCATTGGACCAACAGGGGCCATATCCAGATGCATGAGAAACTACTCTACATTCTTGATGACCCTGGTCTTCAGTCATATGCAATGATGAGATAGGACAGAATAGAAACGATTCCTTTGGGGAGATGGAAAGTGTGTTCAAAACCTGAAAGAATGAAACTGGTTTGGCGACCATAATAGTGGACTGTTGAAGAGACAGTGTCTTTGATTCAGCACAGCATACACTTGGGTCTGGCAAATAGGAGGTGGAGGGAAGTGACATAAGTGAATTTCAGGCCTAGATTTGAAAATATCTCACATGACCCTCCAATTTGACAATGGACTTGAACCTCCTGTGTTAGAGGTGGCAGAGCCACAAGACCACTAGAGCTTTGGTAGGTATTGTGCATAATGTTTGTTACATAGAGACACATGTATATACTTATACATACATGTACTCACATTTGTAATAGGAACACTTCCCTATTAATTTTATATGTTCCTTATAGCCAATACTGTGGGGATGCTGAGAGAGTAGGAAATATTTCTGAAGACCATATTCCTAAAACAGTAATCACTGGGAAATTTTGGGAAGGGTGAGCCTGTTGAGTTTCTTCTCTGTAAAATGTGATTAAAAAGACATAATTTTCCTGCTATGTGGAGGATTAGCAATCATACATGCAAAACACCAAGCAGAAAGCCTGGTATGTGGAGTGTTGATAATTGCTAAGTATTAGTGGTAATGCTCTTGTATTTTCAGAATTGAGAGAAATTTTGAAGAATATATTATTTTTCAAATGGTGCAAACACTGTCTCATCAAATGAGATATTAGGTTCAATTACTATTTATTTCTGGCCTTCATAGAATGCATCATTTGACAATTGTATTTCTTGAATTTTCACATCTAAATGTTAGAAAATAAGTTGCATAGGGCTTACAGGACATGTGTTCAACAGTTTTGAACACATAGTGAGATTTCATCTTATGTTTGTACTACTTGGGGGTCTGACTCAGGTGGATCCAGCTGTGGGGTGTAGATGTGTTAAAGGATGGAGTGAAAGGAGAGGAGTAAAGATGCAGATTGCAGACCTGCTATGGTTTGTTTGAACAATTATTCAGAATTCTAGTATAGTTCATCCTTGAACAATGCGTCAGTTATGGGTGCCAACTGCCAACAAAGTAAAAAACACCACATACAACTTTTGACTCCTCAAAAACTGAATTACTAATAGCTTACTGTTGACTGGAAGCCTTATTGATAACATAAACAGTTGATGAACACTGATTTTTATGCTATATATGTAATATACTGCATTCTTACAACTAATGAGCCAGACAAAAAAAGTTAACTAAATCATAAGGAAAAGAAAATATATTTACATTGATTAAGTGAATAAAGGTCTTAATTCTCATTGTCTTCAGGTAGAGTAGGCTGAGGAGGAGGAGGAAGAAAGGGGGTTGGCTTTACTGTCTTGGCTTGGCAGAAGGAAAGAAAATCTGCATATAAGTGAACCTGCACAATTCAAATCCCTGTAGTATGAGAGTCGACTGTACTTGCTCTCCATTGTATGAATAGAAATTCTTCATATTCCACATCTGAAAATATAAAACCAATTTATTTGCAAGGTTGTACAGCATGCATTTTTTAGGAGAATTGTCTTTGAGGCTGGATCATTTGGCTGTTTCCTTTTATTGTATATTTTTTCCCATTTTTTCCCCTCTCTCATTTAGATTGTTCTGTCTTCCTTTGATTACTTCTTCTACTGTTACTCCTATTACTTTAACTGTTTAGCAGTTTTATAAAGAATATAAAAAGCTGAAAACATTGATTAGTCTTCTAACAATATGCCACTTACATCTACAAAGAGTAAACAAATAATGTTTTTTCAACTTTCTATAGTTAAAAATAAATTATTTAATGATACTTTTGAAAATAACTGATATCAAACCCTTACAAAACATTGTCATCAGCTAATTGTAAATGAACGAGAAACATAAGGATGAAGTTTCCACAAAAAACACACACATTTAAAAATTTAAGCAACATTGGCAAATGTCTTTTTGTATTTTGCCAATTTCAAAATATTTGAAAATAATTTGAATTTTTTTTCTGAACATAAAATGTCACAGGATGCTTATTTTTGTGAAAATTCAAGAAAAAAATGCTGAAAAAAGTCATGACGTGATTTCTACAGGAATAATTATCAAACAAGTAGTGCTGTCATCTTGATAGCTTCATGGATTGTTTCAAATGTTGTTACCTGAAGGAAATGAACAGACTGTTTTGAAAACCAAGGGCAGGTTGAAAAATAGGAAACTATTATGAACCACAGATATAAAATTATGCTGCTTTTACTTTCAAATATAAAAGGAACAGAATCTTCCAACTTATTTAAAAATACATTCCATATTGCTAATAGCATTTACCAAACTTAATATAAGAAAATAAAATATACTGTATCATTGGCTTCAAATAATTGTTAACCAATTTGACTTTGCCTCTTGTAATATTAAACAAAATTCCATTGGAATGTGTGACCATATCAGTCAGGACCCTCATTTAGTGATAGAAATCTTACTTCAGCAGTCTTAGACACAAATGTTCAATACATTTTTAAAAATAAAGGGAATATATGGGATAACACAATTAAGAACCCTTGGTCCTGGGCTGATATTTGTTATGGCAGCATCCAGAGTCTCACTTTCTGATCAATTTTTCCTCATTCATTGGCTCTTTCTTAAGACAGTATTTCACAAAATGGCATGAGAAGCTCCTGGCTCATGTGTTCCCAACATAATAACATCAGGGAAAAACAAACACCTCCTTTTGTACAGTTCTAGCAAAGAGCCTAAGATGAGCGTGGCCATGCTGATGTGTTCATCTGCTCTGCTTTGCCTCCGTCATCAGGAGATGAGGGGCACACAGGGAGCGGGGGCGGTACCAGCCAACCAGATGTCCTGGGGGTGAGAGGCATTGATTTCTCAATAATTAGGACCAGTATTTCCAAAAGAAATAAGAAAGGATACTGGACAGGTAATAATCTCAGAGATTATTTAATATTGTTCTAATACTCTCTACTTACTACTTATGAAGTCTATAAAATTATTTGTTCTGATGCAGTGTGTTATAGTAGTTACTTTTCTAAACTGTGACATAAAGGAAAGATTTCATTTTCCCTGTCTGGTTAATTGTATTTTCTTTCAAAACATCCTGATGTATTTGAATTGAAAAGAGCTAGAAAAAGTTTACCTTTCATGGGTGGAACTTTTTTCTTAGTTCCTATTTCTTTTTCTTTGAGATTTCCTTTGTGATTCTCTTCCTTGTTTTCTTCCCTGCAATTCATCCATGAGGCTGGTGCAGGAAGCCTGGCCCTGAGGATTCATTGCAGTAAGTAAAGCTTCTGCCTCGAAAGGCTCGAGGTTGAGATAGATAGGCAGGATCTCAGAGAAGGGAGATATGGATAGAGTGACTGAGGCTACTGTTTGGGCTTAAGAAGAAATTTCTTCTTGGATGTTTGGTGGTTTGTTTTCCTGTACTCCCCACATCATCAGAGTGGTAAGATTAAAAGCCAAAGTCAACAAAATAGGAGAAAGTCCAGGGAAAAGCAGCTTGGAGAAGAAGGTATTCAACCACTAGAATATGTGAAAGGCATTGTGGAATCTTGTGCTATTAAGATTGCAAAAACAGATTGCACAGCTCTGGTGTCTTAGTCCATTAGAGCTGCTATAACAAAATACTATAAACTGGGTGGCTTATAAACAAGAGGAATTTATTTCTCTCAGTTTTGGTGACTGAGAAGTCCAAGATCAAGGTACAGGCAAATTCAGTGTCTGGTGAGGGCTCATTTCTCTCATAGAAGCCTTCCAGCGGTGTCCAAGGAGCTCCCTAGGGTCTCTTTGTGAAGTGCACTAATCTCAAATTCATGAGGGTTCCATCCTCATAACATCATGACCCCCCAAAGGCCTCACTTCCTAATACTAACGCCTTGGAGGAGTAGGGTTTCAACATATGAATTTTGGAGGGGCACAAATATTGAGACAATAGCACCTGGATACTAATGACGTCTGTCCTGTGTGTTTATCTCCTTTTACCACTTCTGGGATCAGAAGAAGACTGGTGGAGGATTCAGAGCTCATAGTTGAGATTGTCATATCCTCTTCGATGATGGAAATATCAGTCATATAAGTTGCTTTTTATGTAGTTTTACAAAATATCTCTTTGGAAAGAACTAGAATACATGAAAAGGTAGTGAGACTTGGTTTCTGTGTCACTGTACTCCATGAATGTGATTATTGAAACAGGTATTCCTAAATTATTTTCCCTCTTGGAGCAGGCAGCTACCGAATCTCAAGACATATGTGTTTTATAGGTCTTGAGTATTTGCATACACGCCAAAAATCAGGTCACAGGGAAATGGCATGAAAAAAACAAAAGCACAGTTTAAATTTCCAGTAACCAGACCAAGCTATCAAAACTATTTTTTTATTATAATCAGGTTAAGAGATTATATGTTTTAAAAGTTTAGTATTTTTTAAAAACAAGTGATCAAAATTATGTATTAAAAATAAGAGACCACAGGTTATAAAAGGAGAATTATCCTTAAATATAAAGAACTTTTTAAAAAGTACAAATAAATCAGGGTGTATATTAAGTATTCAGTTTGCTTTGTGGCTTCTTGAACAATTTAAAAGGGAACATTTTATAGAGAAAAGGAAATTAGTGATGATTTTTTAAAAAATAAAATTTAAAACATATTTTCTGACATTTTTGTCATTTTGAAAGAATTCTATTTGTATAATATTAAGCATCTTAATCCTCTTTGCTTATTTTACATTCCATTTTTAACTAACTAGGCAAACAATGTTTTTGTTAGTGGTCATTAATCTACACATCCTGTTTGTGTTTTAATTTAAACTGTTCTCATGGGGTTAAGCAGTATTTCTCTAATTCCTATTTTAGTTTATGAGTGAGTCAGAAAATATTTACTATGCCGAAATAGGTATAAGAATAACAATTGTTGTAGTCCTTAAATCATCAGTAATTGTCACCTACTGTATTAGCCCATTTTCACACTGCTATAAAGTATACCTGAGACTGGGTAATTTATAAAGTAAAGAGGTTTAATTGACTCACAGTTCTGCATACCTGGGAAAGCCTCAGGAAACTTACAATCCTGGTGGAAGGTGAAGGAGAAGCAAGTACGTTCTTCATGAGGTGGCAGGAGAGACAAACAGTGAGAGACTGAGGAAGTGCCACACTTTAAAACCATCAGCTCTCTTGATAACTCTCTGGCTATCAGGAGAATGGCATGGGGGAATCCACCCCGTTGATTCAATCACCTCTGTACTACAATTCGAGATGAGATTTGAGTGGGGGCACAGAGCCAAACCATGTCACCTACACTTCATGAAAATCTTGTTAGTATAAATATATCAACACTTAAGCACACTTCGTTAGTAAAACATGTATTTTTTAGTAAAGTATGCAGACACATAATAAGGCAAATAATTGCTATACTAATACTAGCTAGCATTTCTCTAACACCTTTTTGTATGATAGACACTATTCTAAATGTTCTATATGTGAACCTGTTTAATCCTCAAGGCAACTTAATGAAGTAGTTGTGACTATTATCCAGATTTTATGATGAAGAAACTGAGCACAAAATGTTTAAGCACGGGTCAAAAGTCATGCAACTATGTAAAATCCCACCATTTTATTTGCCATACTTTATTATTTTCTAAAGTTGTTTCGAGCACGCATTAGAAGGATGCTTAAAATTAAAGTGTTATTTTTATAACAATGTTTGTAATTAATATATATCAATTATATGACACAAAATATACTAAATTTGCTTTCTAAGAATAAGAGAACTTCCTAAAATTAAGAAAAATAAGGAAGAAAAAACAAGTACTGCCATGTGTCACTTAGTCATGAGGATACATTCTGAGAAATGTCTTGTTAGGTAACATAGTGTACAAACAACCTAGTGTGTACTTATGCAGACCTAGATGGTACAGCCTACTACACACTGAGGCTACATGTGTATATTGTCCATTGCTCCCAGACTACAAACCTGTACCGCATGTTACTGTACTAAATGCTGTAGGCAATTGTATCACATTGTTATTTGTATATCTAAACATATGTAAACATAGAAAAGGTACATTAAGTATAAAGTATAAAGAATAAAAAATGTTACACCTCTAACAGGGCACCTACCATGAACAGACTTTGAGGAATGTAAGTTACTCTGGATAAGTCAGTGAGTGACTAGCCAGTGAATATGAAGGCATAGGGTATTACTGTACAATACTGTAGACAACACTGTACATTTAGGCTACACTAAATTTATTAATATTTTTCTTTAATATTAAATTAACTTAGCTACTATAACATTTTTTGTTTATAATGAATTTTTTTTAACTTTTAACTCTTGTAATAACAGCTTAATACATGAACACATTGACAGCTGTACAAAAATATTTTTTCTTTATGTCCTTATAAGCTTTTTTCCATTATTAATTTTACTTTTAAAACTGTTTTTGCTAAAAACTAGAAAACAAAAACACACATTAGCCTGAGACTACACAGGGTCAGGATCATCAATACTACTGTCTTCTACCTCCATATCTTGTCCCACTGGGAAGTCTTCAGGGGCAATAACAGGCATGGAGCTGTCATCTCTTCTGATAACAATGCCTTCTCTGGAAAACTCTTGAAGTTCCTGCCTGAGGCTGTCGTACAGTTAATGTTTTTCTTTTTAATTAGTAGAAGTACACTCTAAAATAACAATAAAAAGTATAGTAAATACATAAACCAGTAACATGGTCATTTATTATCAAGTATTATGTATTATACATAATAGTGTGTACCACTTATACATGCCTGGCAGCCCAGTCGGTTTGTTTATACCAGCATCACTACAAACATGTGAGCAATGCATTGAACTGTGTAGGACATTACCATGGCTACTGTGTCACTAAGTGAAAGAAATTTTTCAGCTTGCTTATAATCTTATAGGACCATTGTATATGCAGTACATTGTTGACCAAAATGTCATTATATAATTCATGACTATGTTAAATATTTCCACAGATATACACATAAGTGGTTTATCAAGCTTAGAGTTAAAATAATCTCATTTAATTAGGAACCTATAATCATGCAACAGACATTTGTTAGATATCTCTTCTATTCATGCTTATTTTTGGATAAAGCCCATATTTGAAGCCATGGTGTATTATTGCATTAGTTTGGTGCAAAAGTAATTGTCATTTTTGCCATTACTTTCAATAGCAAAAACCTCAATTAGTTTTGCACAAATTACTTTTGCACCAACCTAATGAATAGACAGATAATTCCTCCTAAGTAGATGAAACAATTATGCTTAATGTTTTTTTTTTTCCTTTTTCTTCTTTGTTTCCCAGTGTTCCTTTATATTGATGCAGTATATATTTTATATTTACGCTCCTTTTCTGATATTACAACTCTTAGGTAATCAAAAGTTCTTTGGTTATAAAAATGCCCACTTCCATGTTACAGTTAAAACATTAGCTACTTTGAAGATAGGGTTCATCCGTTCTCCTTGTTCAGACCTGCTGCAGAGGGGGACGCTGGCAGTCAGAGTCAAGTGTGCAGCCGACACTACTCTTTCTCTACTTTGTAATTCTTTTACTTTCCTGCGTAGCAACGAGGTTTCTTCCCCCATAAAGGCCAGCATCCAGGGAGCGAGGGGAGGGGCTTGTGTCCTACTCCTCTGGGCCTGAAAACAGTGTGAAGCTGACCACTTTTCTCCTGTGAATCCTTCTTGTCTTCATTCCTTACCCTTGGAGTCAAAGATGCTCCCTTTTCTGGCCTCTCCCTTGCTTCTTTCTTAGGCCCTGCACATCTGACAGTATTAGTAGAGTTTCTACTCAAGTCTGTTTGCCCTTTGGGCATTCCTCCTGAACACACAGACACATGCCCCTTCAGTAGCTGAAGCTGGGAGTGTGGACCTCCCTTGATCAATCTCACTTTCTTTGATTCATACATCAGCAGCTGTCTTGCCTTTTCCTCACCTGTTAGATATGATAGGCAGAGCCCAACATCAGTTGACCTCATCTAGCAATTTCGGGAAACACTTCTCAAGCTCTCTGAGTTGTCGCATTGACGATACTCTCATTAGGCTTGAGGCAAAAATGGCCACCCTCCACATCTCCTGCATTGGACAGAACTCTCTGAAGAAAATTTCTCAAAGTTCAGCTCTCTCTTATAAAAGCGAGGACAAAAATTGTTACCAGGTTCGGCCAACTACTTTGTAAGCTCTATATAGAATCTAGGAAGTTCTTTGCAATGGGATATTGCTTCCTGGTAGCTCAGCAAGGTATTTTAACATCATGCTATATTTACAGCATGATGTTCAGGGTATGGGGCCACCAAAATGATACATATATATCATTTGCCAGTGTTTAGGCTGAGCCCTAGGCCATTCACATTGGTGCAGGTATGGCTTAGCAAGCCCCCGCCCCCAAGCCCCCACTCCCACCCCCTAGCTTAGCTTTACATACTGGCTTCCAATTATTACCACTCTCTGGAGCATACAACTTGGCTGGGAGCAGCACTTAATCAGCATCTGCTCACTGAGTAGTGCAGCATATGTAGCAATAGTATTGATTAACTTTACAGTGAGTTCATCTTACATAGATAAGTAGGTGAGAAACAATGGAATTTTTAAAACCCAACCAAAAAAATGAGAGCAGCTTTCAACTCTCATAGTATCTTCTGAAATGTGACCATGAAGACTAGTTATAGAAATTCAAACCAACCCAAACTGAGTCTTTCTTCCCAAAATAGCATTGCTAGTATGCATGTGTGTATGCATATGAGTGTATACCTAAGTGTAGGAGAAGGAAGACACTTAACCAATCACATGAAGTATTAGTTAGAACCATCAAGCACATTTTAATTAAAGGACTGAATCCCAGCTCAGACTCGCTTAATCTAAGGGCCAATAATACTTTATTGCTGAGTAATCCAAGTGTGGCTCTTCAACCTGGTTAGAAGCAGCAGCAGGACAGATAATACTGGGTTTCTTCTGTTCTTCCTGACTTCTGTTCACCCTTCCTTATCTCTAATCTCCTTATCAGTTGTCCTCCCAGGATTTCTTTCTTGTGGGTGTCCTTTTTGCAGCATAAAAACCCCAGGGGAAGAGGTAGCAGTCACAAAATAAATCCTAGGGAGGAGTTATCAGCCTGCAGGCTCTGTTTGGCCAGGCAGGGGACATGTGCCAACATTGTGCTGGAAATACTCCAAATACTCTAGAGTAGAGGAGGACTGTGCTAGGGAAAGTGTATCAGTTTGCAACGGTTACCATGACAGAGTACCACAAACTGAGTGGCTTCAACAAAAATGTGTGAAATGTATGGTCTTAGAGTTCTGGAGGCTGGAAGTCCAAAATGAAGGTGTCAGCAGGCTTGGTTCCTTCTGAGGTCTGTGAGGGAGTGAGCTCTTTGAGGCCTCTCTTTTTGGCTTATAGATGACTATCTTCTCCCTGTGTTGCTTCATATTATCTTACCTCTGTGGGTGCCTGTCTCTTTGTCCAAAATTCTCCTTTTTATAAGACACAAAATTCCCCCTTTTATAAGTCATGTCAATTAAAAACCCACCCTAGTAATCTCATTTTACCTTGATTACCTCTGTAGAGATCCTACCTCCACATAAGATCACATTCTGAGGTACTGGGAGTTAGGACTCCAGCATATCTTTTTAGGGGTACACATTTCAACCTACAACACACTATAACTTAAAAAGGGGAGTCAGAATTGACCATATGAGGACAGATCTCAACTATCATATGCCACTCTACACATAATTACAGAATGGCAAATGTGCAAATGAAAGCAACCTAGGAAGTGGTGATCATTCATTCTCTTTCTCTCTCCCTAAATAAATACACAATCAGAGTTTCCTCATTGTTGAACTTATAAAATGTAGATGGTTCCCAACTTAGGATGGTTCAATTTATAATATCTTGACCTTGTGATGAGTTTATTGCCATTAAATGCATTTTCAACATATCATCAGTTTATTGAAAGCAATTCCATCATAAGTAGAGGACCATACATATTTATGCATATATATGTATATGTATACACACATATATATAACATAAACATATATATGTGTATGTATGTACAAACTTATTTTTGTGTATATATATATTTTTTTGTTTTTTTTTTTGAGACAGAGGCTCATTCTGTCTACCAGGTTGGAGTGCAGTGGCACAATCTTGGCTCACTGCAACCACTGCCTTCTGAGTTCAAGCGTTTCTCCTCTCTCAGGCTCCAGAGAAGCTGGGACAGCAGGTGCCCACCACCACACCTGGCTAATTTTTGTATTTTTAGTAAAGATGGTGTTTCTTTTGTATTTTTAGTAGAGGTAGTGTTTCACCATGTTGGCCAGGCTGGTCTCGAACTCCTGACCTCAAGTGATCTGCCTGCCTCAGCCTCCCAAAGTGCTGGGATTACAGGCATAAGCCACTGCACCTGGCCCATTTTTATATGCCTTTTATGGTTTCTAGTCCTAAGAAAATCTTTTATTTTTCAGTGTTCTATGTATATATCCTCTACAATTTTTGCCTCTGTTTATTTTAAATGTTCTTCTTCAGACTTTGAAAACTATTCAAAAGCAATAGTTCATTATAAGTATTTGTATAACAAAATAATCTTACAGCATTCGTTCTAATCAAATCAAGTATTTATGAAGAAAATAACAGTATGCATTTCTTCCCCATATCCATCTAAACATTTGTTCAACAGTTTCTAAATTAGAGAGGAATTAGCACCTCAACTGAAACATGCAATTACGTCAATAAAATTGGAGAAATTTATTTCAGGAAATCTTACAAAGCATATTGAATAGTGCAGTATTATGTGTTACTCTTTTCTATTAATTCCTTAACTATGAAGTCTAGACCTTCTTTATCAGAGGCAAGGCATTGAACTTTACTTTGCCCTTAACAGCTCCCCAGCAAATATTTTCATGAATGAATGAAAGAAATGACAAGTCATTCATCAAGTAAAATGAAACGGCATTCTTATCTTTATTTTTTCCTAAAAGAAAAACAAGGTAATTAAGAGACAATTGAGAAATACACACATATGCACAGAGTTTAGAACTTATTTGCCATTAAGATAAATCACATCTTATTCCGAAGAAACTTCTGGGCATTTTTCTTGTTGTAGTTGCTGTTTGTTTCATTTTGTTTTTGAATAAGGAACTCAAACAATATGTGTTGAATTGAAACTTAGCCATTTTCTGATACGTCTAAAATATAATTTAAACATAATGTATATGGAATGGCTTGCTTCAAATGTAATAGTTGTATGCCCACGGACTTAAAAAATTTATTATTGGAAATTGTCTTTCCAAATAAAACTGTTTCAAACAAAATTTCCTCTGGAGCTGATATGAATTATTAGGTGCCAGAAGATGTGCCCGCCCAGCATGTGGTGATGTTCATCTAATTTCCAGATGTTCATATCATCCCTCCTTACACAAAACAGCCCCAGGAAAAGGACCATGTCAAAGCTTGGAAAAGCAAATATCCAGGCATCCAGGCTCTAGCACTATCTACCAGTAGACTAAAACAAGTTGGAATGGGTGATCCCATGCTCCATTTTTTCCCTCTGAGATTCTATAATCCTCTTGATTTCAAGTCCACTGTTAAAGTCTATGCTATGCACATGCTTTTGTTGTCCTGTAATTAACATTATTGTCATAATCTGGGATTAATGATGAGT